GTCTGGGCACCACCAGGACTGGCTGGATGGTCACCATGGAGGTCTGGGCACCACCAGGACTGGCTGGGCAGTGGTAGGAGGCTGGGAGGGACATGACAGAGGGGCAAGTTATTTCACAAACTTAGACCTTGGAGGCCGGGATGAAGGTAAAACAGGCTCAGTGCCTGCAATGTTTCACACTGGGGAGGGCAGTTCTGCAAACGCGCCCCCCCATGCCCTGCCATGACTGTGCTGTATTACCCCCTGGAGACTGACTGAGGGTTAGAGAAAGGGAGTGGGGGAGGGCACGTACCTCTCAGATGGGCAGGGGGACATAAATGATGGGGGTCATCACCTGGGGGCTCTCAACTTCCAGTCTGCCTCCCAGGGCCAGTGTACTGACCACCGTCCCATTCAGAGAACCAGGACGGTGACAGCAGTCAGTTACTGCGCAGAAAGGAACTACTACACAGTTCTGACACAAATCAACAGAGTTCCTGGAGATCATCAGAAACATCTGCAAGTCTCAGAGCATGGCCTACCCCCATCTCCAGCTGTTAACAGCCGGGGTCCTTCAATGCTCTGCCTGCCTTCTAGGTTCTATGTGCTTTTAATACAGCTTAAGTGGTTTTGACCAGGTTGAAGGAGGTCCAGATTAGCATTTCAGATACAGTCTTCCCTCTTCAACTGGTCACAAGCCAGGCTGACTGCTGGGTTTCAACTCATTCCAAGAAAAGTGAGTGGCAGCTTGGAGGAAGGTGCTCCTTTCCTTGCCCCTCAGCAGAGCAGGAGTTAAATCCTTCTCAGTTGGGGGATGGAGACTGGGGGGTAGGGGTAGAGAGCCAATTTTGTCCCCAGAGATGTGGTGGCAGTGTCCAGAGACCTTTTTGGTTGTTACATCTTGCGGGCATCTAGTGGGTGGGGGCCAGGGATGCTTCTGAACACTCTGCGATGCACAGGACAGCCCCCACAACAAAGAATTATCTGGCCCCAAATGTCAGCAGAGCTGCAGCTGAGAAACCCTGATCTAATGTAGGTTTTGCTGAGGAGGTAGGTAGGGAAAGGGGGTGGGGAGGGGTGCTGAGGGAAAGGAGCTGGCAACACCGACTGTAGAATGAGACCCTGAGTGCCTACCCCCTACCTGTCATCCAGCTCCACAACCAGGGGCCCATGAGCCCTGGGGAAAATCCCCGCCACTGCTGGACAGCAGCAGAGCCCTCTGCCAAGCCACAGCAGCTTCTGGGATTTATGACATCTCCACAGCCAACAGGTTGCACTTTTCAGGAGGAAGAACTGTTTCAATTAGTTCTGTGAGCCTTTCAAAGGCGGATTTCATAAGGGCCCACTTACTGTGTTGACTTCAGCTTATTTTTTTCTTCATACTTCAGAGGAAGGAAAATAATTTGTCAACTTAAATCTGGGTTTTGTAGGAGATGGTATGCAAATAAGCATCAGCTTGCAACATTCAATTATTGTGAACTATAAACATACTTACTGGTTTATCATTTTCTGCTGGCAATTCAAACACACATCTAAGTTTTGAATCCATAAGGTCTTCTGGTTTTGCCTCCTTCCACTAAAACAAGTTAATAATCAGGATATTATAAAGCTGCTGGAAGAATAATTTTCTTCCTATAACTGACAATTTCAGAAAAATACTCTTAATGAGAAAGCCCTGATGTATATCAAATAAAGAACTTAAGTCTGCTGAGATTTTAGTATTTTTAACATGACAAGATTAAATACACTAGCTTTCCTGAATATTTATTACCATTCACAAACCGCAAAGCCTTGCTGCCTGGCTCCTCAGAGTCAACGCATGCTCCTGGAGCTGCTAGTCTGTGGGGAGCACGTGGGACAGAGAGGACCACCGCCAGGAGACAAGAGCTTTCTGGATTGTCGGGATGGCCAGAGGTAATCCGGCTTTCCATAAGAAAGCAAGCCCTGCTGGCCAGCACAGCCTTCTAGAGGGCTTAAGATGTAATTTCTGGAAGGGGCGCAGGAGCTGCTCTTGCCACAGAGGCTGTGTCTGGCTGACCCCTGGCCCATGCCCACCCCCTCTAGTGTGTGGGTGTCAGCACCCGCCTGGCCGAATCCCACGCTCTGGGACGTCACACGCCTGGTGCACTCCTCCGTGGGCAGCAGACGGGAGTCCCTGGGTGCTCTAAGAATTGGCAGTGTCTCCTGCTGTTATACACAGGGGTCGCTATGAGTCGGAACCGACTCAACGGCACCAAACAATAACAACTAAGAATTGTGGACCAGCACAGCAGCAAGGTTAGAATACAGAGAAAGGAAGACTCCCCCTGCCGACCCCCAAAACCATGCAGGAGGCAGCTAGAGCAACACAGGTACCAAGAGCCCAAGATGGAGGCAATCTAAATGTGGAACAAGAGCGGGCCTGTGGCAGCTCCATTCAATACAAGAGCATGCTGCCAGTCACACAATACTGAAGAGCATTTTACCACGTGGGGAAAATCACAGATCACAAGGGGAAACATTACAAACAATTTCAGTCTGGTCCTCTGCACACACACACGACACACATGACTGTGTGTCTGCGTGTGACAAAGAGTGTCAGGTGAGGACCATCAGCAGATGCTGCAGCCACCTGGAGAGCAGGACAGCGATCACCCGAGTGTCCCAGGTCACTTATTAGCCACAGGGGGAAAACGCACTTTGACACTGAGAGTCACGCTCTGACCCCGTGATGAAATTTAGTGTCACCAGCAGAAGAGGGACAACAGGGCATTAAGTGCCTCTAATGTTGCAAGAAGTACCTGACATCACCTATGGCATATTCTTGCCAAGAAATGTTTACCCTGAACCTACTCAGGAGGAAGCAGACATTCTACAAGTCCACTGGCCTGGACTCTCAAAATTCAGAGCCATGAAAAACAAGAAGGGCTGGGGTAATCTTCTAGAATAAGAACAACTAAAGGACATTTCAGAACAACTGGAATATTCTGAATAAGGATTTATCTATTAGGCAGTATTATTGAAGTGATGTCAATTCTTCTCAACTGTGGTAACAATATCGTGGGTATATAAGAGAATGTCCCTGTTCTGAAGTGTTTAGAGATGAAGTGTCATGAAGTCTACGACTTACTTTCAAATGGTTCAGCAAAAAGGAAAATTATGACAGAAATGAAGCAAATATGGCAAAATGTTAACAAATGGTGAATCTAGGTAAAGATTATACAAGTGGTCACTCTGTTTTTTGGACTTTCTGTAGGTTTGAATATCAAAAGAATAACAAGTTAAAATAAAGAAAAAGCACAAAGCTCTTATCGACGTGGTTATGTCTAATATCTAGGAGCTCTGGTGGAGCAGTGGCTAAGCACCTGGCTGCTAAACGAAAGGTCAGTGGTTTGAACCCACCAGCGGCTCTGCTGGGGAAAGATGTGGCAGTCTGCTTCCGTAAAGATGACTGCCTTAGCAAGCCTGGGGCGGGGGAATTCTACTCTGTCCTATAGGGTCGCTATGAGTAGGAATCAACTAGACGGCAATGGGTTTGGTGTTTTTGGTTTATGTCTAGTTTGAAAGAACTACAGATTATTTGTATTTTTATTTTTTGCTCATTTTGGTATTCCCGAAGCTTCTGTGAAGATGGCCGGTTTGTTTCTCCAAGTGCACATTCTGAACAACAACAAACAGACGTTAAAAGAAAAAAAGTGTTATAAAAATAATCGTACAAGAAAGAGAGCTAAACGTTCACTGAGTACCTACCATATCCAGCCCCTGCCTTAGGGACAGTCTTCAGAAAAAAACAATCGGATGTGTGCAGGTGTTTTACACACACAGCACATGGAATCCTCACAACAAACCTGGGGGGTGGCTTTTCATCCCCATTTTAAAGGTGATGAAAAACCTCAAGAGAGTTCATGAAACCTGCCCAAGGCCACCAGGTTAGTCAGAGGCAAAAGCAGGCTGCGAGCCCAAGATCCCCATTCACCTGTTCTTTTCACGGCCCCACGCAGCGAAAGCCAGCTAGAACACACTCTTGGGTAGTCCGTAGTTTGTGTTGGCCATAAGTTTCCTTGACGACACAAAATAACAGGAAGTGACACATCATCTTCCAGGAAACAAAGAGCAAGTCGTAAACGCCTCAGTGACCCTTCTATCAGAAAGAAGTGGGCCTACTGTCCGGGAGTGCTCTCAACCTGGAAACATCTAGCTCAGCTTTAATTTTCTGCCCCAAAACTAAACATCCGTGAAGACAGCCAGTTATGCATTTCCAAACTAAAAAGGGCAGTGTGGTGGTCCGGGGCGTGCAGTGGGTTGGGAGTGTCCCATGGAAAGAGAAACACTACAGTGTAGCGTGAATGGAGCGAACTCAAATGTGCAGACGCTCCCTGGGTGGCTTTGGTCTCTTGGTTTGGGTTGACAAACTGGAAAGCGGTGATGAAAACGTTCCAAGACAATCTGCCTTTCTTTTCCCAACTGCGAGGCTGGGCCAGGGACAGAAGGCTCAGCTACTGACTGTGAGTCGCCCACAGCCCCAGAGGCCTGTTTATTCATCCACATGTACAAAAACTTCCTTCTGGGAGAATTTCTAATACAATCCCTTTTTTTCCCCCGAGAAAAAATCAATAATATCACTTATTTATTTTATGAAATCAGGATCTCTTATTTTTACCAAAAACAGAGACAGACTTCAACATGCATGTAACAAGCGGGAGAAGCATGAAGGAAGCTGGGAACACAGCAAAAGGGGTGAAGGGTGTTTGGTAGTCAACTCTCTCATGCCCCTCTGGCTTCTCGGGGATGGGAAGACACGGTAAGAAACATTTCCTACACTGAGAAGTACTCTGCTCTCCCAGGGTGGGAGAAGGGTGGGGTAGAGAGGAGAATCCCTAAACCATTCCAACTACAATGCATCCGAGCAAAGAACTGCTACGGCACACCGAGATTATAAAACTCAGGAAAGAATCGTATTCTAGAAAATTATGTAAAAGGTTAAAATTACTCATCAAAGTTTTAGAAAAACCCTAAAGGGAGTCAAAGTACAAACCCCCTGGCAAACCCCATCCCCCTTTAAGCGATCATGACACATTCCCCATGCATGCGTCCACAATTCTGTACCTAACAACTTTTTCTTTTCTTTCTTTTTTTAATTACCGAAAACAAGAAGAAGCATTCAGTACTTACTGCTGCTTCCATATCAGAAGTGTCAGGTGGTGCAAACATAGACTGAACCATAAACTTGTGTTTACTTTTCTCATTGGGATCATAATCGAAAGGCTGCAACATCACTGAGAAAGAAAATATTTCATTAGGAGGGTCAGAGCTTGTCTGTCACGCAGCACTGTATGTCGGCTGTAAAGCGGTTGCACCTCGTCCTCTCCTCTGAGCCTCCCGATGCCCCTGGTGAGGTGAGCAGGGCAAGATTACCAGCATCTTCTCTAGCTGCGGATCACGCACCTGAGGACACGAAGGTGAAGGGGTTTGCCTGAGGCTAACCGCTGGAACTGGCACAACCTCCTGACCCCTAGTCCACAGAGCTTTCCCTGACACAGAGGGTCCACAGACGCCTGCTGCAGGCCCCACGGGACAGGTGGAGTGGGTTCCAGAAAATATACCAGAAAGATCTCTTTGGGAACTGAAGTAGAATCATCCAAGACAGTTAAGGAACTATTTTGGCTTCTCTCTGCTCCATTTCCCACAGCCAACGGAGGTTACCCTTGAAACGCAGTTCTGCCGACAGAATGCTAGGACACGTTCCCGCCCGGGACAGCTGTGGGGCACGCTGACACACCAGCAGCTTACACACCCCTTTCTCCCCACAAACCTAGAGGACTCTCACAGGAGGCCCCGAGGGGGTGCCCTCCCGCCCACTGGCCTCCCTCAGCCGACTTCACAGGGAGACCAGGATCTGCCCCTTGCTCAATGACAGCCACTCTGAAACAGCTTATTTGCTCCAAGGCTCTGGTTGAAGCACACACCGAGCTCAGTTCCCTGAAACACAACCCTGCACGCAGGAAAGCCTCCTGTGGCCCTGCATGCACTGTGCCCCATGGGCCAGAGCAGGCTCTTATTTTCAGCCTGTACTTCTCTCATTTAATCCTAAACCGCAGGTACTTCTCAGGGGTGGGGGGTTATAATGGAATCAGTGAGGAAACTCAAGCATGGAGGGGTTTTACGAAGCTGCCCGAGGTCACAGCACGGAGGAGCCAGGATTCAAACCCAGGTCATGCTCAGGGCCACCACGGGGCACTGAGCCCTGGTCCCCTGACAACACAAGTCCTGTCCTTCCCCATTGGCACAGCCTCCAGCCCGTCTCCTGCTGGGCACTCCTCACTGTCCTCTTGTCTTACAGTAGCACCGCAGGGCTCACCAGGAGTTTCCCCTCAATCCTCACACTCCATCGCCCCAGGCAGCAAAGGGCAAGTGCCTTCAGACCACCCTAGAGAGGAGAAATCCAGGGTTCAACAAAGTGAAGGTCACAATGTTAGGACGCAGCACTGGTCCCGCAGAGTTGGATTCTCATCATGTAGCTCACACCCGCCAGCACACACCCTATAGAACCAAGCATGGCAGCGAGCAGAAGTCAAGGTCCCCCACCCGTTCTGGGGACAGAAAAAGTGGTGCAAACCCACCAATGCATCCCATTAAAATGCTCTGGTGTACCTAGTCACCCAAGACAGCCCTGCTGCCCACAACCCCATCCAAGGGCTGAGCTGCAGGTGACCTTACTGGGAGACTTCTTCAGGATGAAAAACAAGATGTGACAGAGAGTGAACCTTTTGTAAACTTGGGACTTGTAAACACAAAAATCACACCACCAAGTGCAGCTACCAATCATGACTGCTAAAATAAGGACGTTCCGTCTGGGTACCCAAAATCCAAATTCTGGGGCCACCAGGAGAGTCAACCTTAATGACATTGATGGAGTCAAGCTTCGGGACCTTCATTCGCTGAGGTGGCCCAACTCAAAATGAGAAGAAAAGGCTGCAAATATCCATTAATAATCAGAACGTAGAAGGTACGAAGTATGAATCTAGGAAAACTGGAAATCGTCAAAAATGAAATGGAATGCAAAAATATCGATATCCTAGGTATTAGTGAGCTGAAATGGACTGCTACTGGCCATTCCAAATCAGATAATCATCTGGTCTACTATGCCGGGAATGACAACCTGAAGAAGCATGGCTTTGCACTCATTGTCAAAGTGAACATTTCAAGATCTATCCTAAAGTGTAACGCTGTCAGTGATGTGATAATATCCATACACCTACAAGGAAGACTAGTTAATATGACTATTATTCAAATTTACACACCAATCACTAAGGCCAAAGATGAAGAACTGAAGATTTTTACCAACCTCTGCAGTCTGAAACTGATCAAACACGCAATCAGGATGCACTGATAATTACTGGTGACTGGAATGCAAAAGCTGAAAACAAAGAAAAATGATTGGTAGTTGGAAAATATGGCCCTGGTGATAAAAACTGTGCCGGAGATCGCATAATAGGATTTTGCAACACCAACAACTTCTTCATTGCAAATATCTTTTTTTAACAACATAAACGGCAACTATACACTTGGACTTCACCAGATGGAATACACAGGAATCAAATCCACTACATCTGTGGAAAGAGGTGATAGAAAAGCTCAATATCATGAGTCAGAACAAGGCCAAAGCCAACCATGGAACAGATAATTAATTGCTCATATGCAACTTCAAGTTGAAGCTGAAGAAAATTAGAACAAGTCCACAACAGCCAAAGTACGACCTTCAATATATCCCACTTGAATTCAGAGACCATCTCAAAAACAGATTTGATGCGCTGAACACTAATGACCAAAGACCAGATGAGCTGTAGAATGACATCAAGGACATTTATACATGAAGAAAGCAAGAGATCATTAAAAAGATAGGAAAGAAAAGACCAAAAGGGATGCCAGAAGAGACTCTGAAACTTGCTCTTGAACATCGAGTAGCTAAAGCAAATGGAAGAAATGATGAAGTAAAAGAGCTGAACAGAAGATTTCAAAAGGTGGCTCAAGAAGACAAAGTAAAATATTATAATGACATGTGCAAAGACCTGTAGCTAGAAAACTGAAAGGGAAGAACAAGCTTGGCATTTCTCAAGCTGAAAGAACTGAAGGAAAAATTCAAGGCTCGAGTTGCAGTACTGAAGAATTCTATAGGAAAAATATCAAACGATGCAGGAAGCATCAAAAGAAGATGGAAGGAATACACAGAGTCACTGTACCAAAAAGAACTGGTCAAATGCTCAACCATTTCAGGAGGTAGCATATGATCAGGAACATACGGTACTAAAGGAAGAGGTCTAAGCTGCACTGAAGGCAGTGGCAAAAAACAGGGCTCCAGGAATTGATGGAATACCAGTTGAGATGCTTCAACAAACAGATGCAGCGCTGGAAGCACTCACTCGTCTCTGACAAGAAATACGGAATATAGCTACTTGGCCAAATGACTGGAAGAGATCCATATTCATGCCTATTCCAAAGAAA